GGTTGTAGCTCAGTAGTAGAGCGCTTGCCTAGCACGTGTAAAGCACTGGGTTCCATCCTGAGCACCACATAAACATAAATAACAACATAAAGGTACCGTGTCCTTCTACACCTAAAAAAGATGCAGAGTGGAATATGTAAGAATAGTTTTGGAGTCAGCTCCACTCATCTCTGAATCTCGGTGTCATGTAAAAGGGTGCCAAGAAGACTATGTACAATACACACACCCTGGCATAAGTAAGAGTTGGGTAAATACAAGTTTACTAACCTTTACCCTTGGAAAATCATCAACTTACATAGCTTTATCAATGGTAAGTTAATTAAGTTCTGTAAGGAAAGAACTTAAATTTAACATTTTTTTATGGAAAACAGAAAGCTCTTAAAAATACAGACTTCCATACCAATTAGCAACTTAAATTATTCTTTTTAAATTAAGCCAACTACTAGAAATGACCTCTCAACATATGCCAGGATTGTGGAAGGTCCTGGGACTACAAGTATAGATAACTGAGACAAAGTGCCAGAACTCACAAAATTTATATTCTAGTTAAAAAACAACTAGCATTTTGTAATGAGGAAAGGGTTGTCCTTCTCAGAGTCCTAATACAAGAACAGCTTTTTTTCACAAATTTTATGGTGGATGGAGGGGTCATTATGGCAGGGTGGGGGAAGTCACAGACTCCTTTGAGAACGGATGAAAACTATAGGTGAATTTATCAATAAGGAATGTGTATACACATACGCAAACTATTTTCTTTCACTTTTTTTTTTTTTTTTGGTGCACTGGGGATTGAACCTTGGGCATGCGAGGCAAGCACTCTACCAACTGAGTATAACTCCAGCCCCTCTTCTTTGACAATTTTAATGGGTGTTCTGTAGTTGTATATAATGATGGAATTTGTTGTTACATACTCATGCATACACACAATATTACAATATAATTTGGTCAATATTGCTACCCATAAACATTTTGAAAAATTGGTGGATGGGGTAATGAACTCCTGGGTTAAAAATTCTTACTAGACTTTCCCACAGTTTCATTTTAAAAGTCAGGAGCATATCAATATTGCTTGTATTAAACAAGACAATGTATTCTAAAGAGTAGAACTAAAAGTACAAAACAAGGCTAGTAAGTAAAAAATTCCCCTAAATCCTTCCCTAGCTTCTGAACATATTTAAAATTATTTGATTTCTGGCTTATATTGAACCTAGCTTTTTGAAATATACTTATTATCCATAAAAATTTGTTTTTAATATAAGAAAAATGAATGAACCCTTATTTCTAATGGTACTACTTATAAACACTATAGCAAGAACAATTCTGACAGAAAGCAGACATTTTAAGAGTCTAAAACAATCTCAGATTTAGGTGACTAGCATTTTAAAATATCTAAAGTAAAATTTATTTTTGTTATTTTATAAATATAAGCTTAATTTTTATAGCACCTTCCAACTTTCTCCTCTTCAGTATTTCTTTTTTTTTTTTTCTTATGACCCTACTCCACCCATGGCACTCATTTGTACTCTTTCAGCCAGGTTACTGGGGAAATTGCTTGATTTTAAATTATTATAAGACAGAACCTAAGGGGAGTTTAATTAAATAAAAATAAAGATGAGGATTTCTGGGTACATACTTACATTCTACCACAGTCTTTCCTTGTTTTGCTTTGTTTTTCAGTACTTCTACCTCACATTTGCAAGTTAAACACAAGCCCCTGTCACTGTGCTTCCTGGTAACATTTCCCATACTCAGGGAGATCAAAGTCAAGAAGGATTTATGGAGCACAATGGTGCCTAATTGGTTACTAAAATGGATCAAGTTAAGATCTGGGGATTTAACTAAAGGTCTGTATTTTCTTCATTCTTTCTACTTCTTTAGTATTTTTAGTACATTTTTCTAAGGCAGTGAATATTCTGAAAGGGTTGTTATTATTCTGGCTCCAAGTTAGTTTTTATAGTAAATGGAAAAGTTTCTATTACCCATATCTACTTACCAACAATGGACTTAAATTAATTATTTGATCTCTGCAATTATTTCAAAACTACATGACTTCCAGCATCTCTAATACTACAAATGTTTCCAACACATAAGTATGCCATGGATATTCCTTTGAGTCTATAATTTCTAAGCCCCAAACATATGGTGTGGTTCTGTACTCTAAAATTAATTTCAAAAAGCTAGTGTCTCTGTCAATAGCTAAACAACCTAAATTCTTTAAATTTTCACCAGAGCAATTCACTACTGTAGCCAAAAAGGTGACCTTTCTTTTGTTCTTGCCTTTCTATCTCACTTGAAATGCCATCTTCATCTCATTTCTGCCACTCAAATCACTCTTTAAATCCTATCTTTGCTTTAAGAATCTGACTTTCTCTCACCTTAGGTGAACTTTCATAGCAGCCACCACACACATTTATATGACAATTACACACACACACACACACACACACACACACACTTTACCCCCTTTTGTAGTAGGGATTGAACCCAGGGCTTCCCACATGCTGGGCAAGTACTCTACCACTGAATGACAGCTACATCCAGTCACATTCTTTGTCATTCTTTACTAAATTACATGAAATATTTATGAAACTTCTGTGTTTTTAAATACATTGTAAACATCACGATCATATGGATGGAACAATGTCTTATGTTTTAGTCTCCTTCATCAATTCACTACAATGTAGATTTCCAGTGGTTATTGGAAAACTAATATATATAAATATAATTAAGTATGTAATCCTAAATTTACATAGCCATATACTAATCTTACTTAAATCAAGTTTTATAAAATCTTATTTTTTTGCAAGTTTTATATCTTAGGCATAAACCTTAGTTTCATGGTTCTGTTTTCTATTTGTTCACCATTAGGTAGCTACCATGTATAGTTTTCTTTTATAAAAATTCCAAAGTCAGCCAGGTATGATGACACATGTCTAGAATCCCAGCTACTCTGGAGCCCGGGTAAGGAGGATCACTATTTTAAGGCCAGTCTGGGCAATTTAATGAAACCCTATCTCAAAATAAAAAGGGTTAGGGATGTAGTAAAAGATTAGGATGTGGTAAAGTATCCTGGTGCCCCAGGTGCAATCTCCAGACCTTAAAAAAACGGGGGGGGGGGGGGATCCTTGGTATATGTTAAGAAGAAATGTAGGGTTATTAAAAAAAAACATTTTTTTTGATTCTGAGGATTGCACCCACCAGCACTTTTTTTCTGTTTTCTTTTCTTCTTTTCTTTTTTTTTTTTTTTTTGTAGTTGTAGATGGACAGAATACCTTTATTTTATTTTTATGTGGTACTGAGGATCGAACCCAATGCCTCACACATGCTAGGCTCTGCCACTGAGCTACAGCCCCAGCCTCCGCATCTACCAGCACTTTACCACTGAGCTACATCCCCAACCCTTTTTTTTTTTTTTTTGAGATAGGGTCTTGCTAAGTCACTGATAGTCTTGCTAAACTGCCAAGGCTGGCTTCAAACCTGTAATCCTGCCGCCTCAACCTACCAAGTCCCTGGGATTACAAGTGTGCACCAATGAAACTGTCTTAAACATTTTGAGGGACCAAGAAATTCAGCAAGATATAATATATGTGTATTTTTCAAGATTATCCACTAGAGTCACATTCTGAAACACCTGAAGAAATGGGAGCATATTTATGGCTAACAATGAACCCAACAGCTATCTTCTTAGAAGTTTATTCTGGCTAACCAAGGTAGTGGATGCCATTAAGGAATCTATAATCTAGCCCAAGAATTAAGATTCTCTTCTCCTTACCTCTTAAAAATACCATCACTTTTTTTTTTTTTTTTGGTGGAGCTGGGGATCGAACTCAGGGCCTTGTGCATGCAAGGCAAGCACTCTACCAACTGAGCTGTATTCCCAGCCCCCCACCACCTTTTTAATTGTCAAGATCTTATTTGTTTGAGATTCATCTGAATGTACCACATGACATATATATTTATTTTTAAATTAATGTTCACAGCTTCTGACACAAAAGTATCAGAATCACTGCTCTAGAACTAAGATGTAAATAAACTTTATCATTAGCAATACATAGTACTCATTAACTGTACTAACTGTAAAACTTTCCTTTTACCAGGACACTTTTATTGTTAAGAAAAAGAAATTGTATTATTGCTGTACAATAATAAATCCTGGAAAATAAATAATGCAATTGAGACGAATAATGTCTACCTAATAGCTATTTTCTATCTTAAGACCTGTCAAGAGGTGCTGAACGGAGACTTGGAGGTTTAGTCTATATTTCTCAAGGAGTTTTATTCGCTAAATTTGGCTCCCTTAAAACTTTGCAGCATATATATTAAAAATTAAGTCATATATTGTTAGATGCCCCAAAACATGAACAACTGGAGAAAATATGCTCATATTTGAATTGCTAACTCTGAAATTGAGTGTGACTTTAAAAATGACACTGTTTTGTCTTCTGGTATGAGTACTATGTATACCAGCAGCTGGTGGCTCATCGGTGCCTCTAGGTTTGGCATCAAAAGGCAAAGAAATAAAGAATTTTGCTCTGATGACACACAGCAGAGTACAACAGAAACCGTCATCTCAATCAACATTCACATAACCATAATACATCAGTATTAGAAAGAAATTATCTTCAGGTCGGAACAACAGGGCACAGGGAAAGAACTGGTTGTTAAAATAACAACTAATTTTTGGTAGCAGCCTACAAAGAAATTGAGATATCGAAAAGCACATTCTTGCCTCAAAATTAAGTTATAAGGGAGAAGAAAATGCAGACATACAGGAAAGAAACAAGGATAGCTCAAACAAAAAGACCATCTGATGTCCAGAAAATAACAAAGCTATTTTCAACACATAATTTTATTTATTTTTTCCATTTTCTAAAACTTTAATTGTTCCTTAAAAATGAAAAAAAGATAATTTACTATAGAATTAATTATATGAATGTATTCATATATCGTATTTATATTGTATATTATTTCAAATGCTTAGGAAATAAAACAAAACTTACCCCATCACTTTCTCTATGTGGATTCAGTCTACTATAAACAGCTTCAATAATATTGCGCCTTAAAAAAAACAAAAAGCTTTAGTTTTTAAGCTTGTATTTCAAATACTTCATTCTTGACCACACTAAAAAACTATCACACTAAATACTTGCCAAGAACACAGTTTCTATATTTCACTGAGAATTTGATCTTGCACAATCCATTTGTTCTCAATTAACAAGAAAGATTTTCATCCTCAAAGAGTATGACAATTTATTTTTAAAAATCTTTTTTGGATGAAGTTTTAAAGTTCTTCTCTAATTTGAGAAACATCAACTCATTTCCTTAGATAACTAATGTGCTTCTGATTTGTTTTTCTTATCTAAAATTATATAATTACTAAATGAAACTACTAAAATTAACTTTTTTGTTCTACTTACTTGCCAGCAAGACCTCCTCCAGGAGGTAAATTTGGGATATTTTCGGCCGACAAAATGCGCATGACATGGGCAAGATCAGGCATCCCTTCCTCACCAGACTTTTCCATAATTTCTGCAGGTTTATTAAAAAAAAAAAAAAAAAGTTCCTTAATTAATGTTGATAGATAATCCAGTATTCACAAAAAATTAAAATAAGAAGTACTATTTTAAAATATAAAAAACAGTACTACCTCTAGGAAGGAACAAAAAGAGGTAATAGTTATATGCATACACAGATCCATGCCAGTATTATTCATAAAAGCACAAGCTAGCACTAAAGTTCCAGTAATAAGAGGACACATAAGAAAATGAGTGAAATGGTTTAACAATTACTAAAAATGAACAAAGTAACAGCTATAGAATAAATACTTAAGCTCTAATTTTAAGTAAAAATAATGTTGTTAATGCCAGAATTACAGGAAAACTAAAGTAATAGCTGGATAACGACTATAATGAAAAAAAGGAAAATTAAAAATCATTTTTGTGGGCTGGGGTTATAGCTCAGTGGTAGAACACTTGCCTGGCATATGGGGGGCACTGGGTTCAGTCCTCAGCACTACATAAATAAATAAAAATTAAGGTATTGTGTCCACCTACAACTAAAAATATTATTAAAAAAATCATTTTTTGTTACCTAAATAAGTAATGTTCTATAACTTATTTAAAATAAAGAAGAAGGCCAGACGCAATGGCACATACCTTTAATCCCAGCAATTTAGTGAGACTCTGTCTCTAAAGAGGGGCGCCTGGGGATGTAGCTCAGAGGCAGAGTGCCGCTGGGTCAATCCCAGTACACACATACAAAGATACATTAGTAATATACAGAAGGAAAATACAGCATGCTAATGCTTAAAACAAAGATTTACATTTTCCATTTCTATTACACAATTTATGGGAAAATTTGATTATTTGGACATTGGAAAGACATAACTTCTCAAAAATCAAACAATGGCAATTTATTTTTGAGAGAGGGGAAAAAGAAAGAGAGGTAAAATCCAAACCTTTTATCAACCCTCAAAAAGACTCTGGGCTTTGCTTTTAAGATTTCACCATTTTACTTTCTCTCAACTCTGCCCGACTTTCTCTGTTTCTAGATCTTCACAAGTATGTCCTCTTGCTTTGGTTTGGAACATTTTTCATGCCAATCCAGTCAATCCCTTTGTATGATTCATTCTTCAGCTTCAACTTCATACATGACTTTGTCCAATCCTTCTCTGACCCACACCTACAGTAGGTATATTACTCTATCCATCCATATATATTGATGTTCCGTGTTTCTAAGCTGTTAGCTTTATGAAAAGACTATATAATTTTTTCTACCTGAGACTTGTACTGCTATAGCACAGGATTTCTCAACCTTGCACTACTGACATTTAGGACCAATTTTTTTTTTGTTCTATCCAGAGCACCACAAAACAAACAAAATATGCATACAGCCTTACCCAATATATCAATGCTTTCAGCTGGAAAATTTAATGTCAGATTACATGACTTAAAATTCCAATAGAAATACAATGCTCTTAAAAAATGATGCCTTATAAAAATTAAGTTACTGATTTGTAGTGGCTGCCTTTCCAGGGATTTTAAAAGCCTTTTTTTTTTTTTAACTTTTGACTGCATGATTATAATCAAGTACTTGACATGGACTCAGGAATTATGATACTATGTATTTTCCATTTCTGCCATATAAGACATACTTTAAAAGTTATAAACCACACAAGAAATAATATTTAAAAAAAGAAATAAGTAATATTAAATGTTAACAATCCATGTTGAACAGAATTGATCATAGCTTGAGAAATTAGTTTGCTGAGGACTTTCAGGTATGGTTCTGTGTGTTTAGATAGCTAATTTATTTTGACAAAGCTCTTTCCTTTGACTAGGTTCTTGAGTTCTGACTAGAACCACCTTTGTGAACTTTGTCTTGTCCTTAAAGAATACATAGTAAGCAAGAATCATACTAAGAAGATTTTAGGGAAATTCCCCCACACTCCCTATCCAACCTTCCACATTATCTTATCACTATTATCACCACTTGTCTGGCCCACTCTCAGCAATAATCCTATTAAGTCAGTTTAGACACAAACCCTTGACCTTTTTGTTTCTTCCTAGTAATTTTCCACCCACTAGCCACCACACTGCTCATTAGTAATAAACTCCCACTTGCCCTAGATGAAATCTAAATTGAGTGCAATGTGTCCCCACCCCACCAGTGCAGGGGTCCCTGTACTTATCATTATAGACCCACTAGATAAAGTCTGTCTTGCTATCTTATCTGAATAAGATAGATTTCTTTATTAAAAGAAATTAACAAACTCTAAAGTTGGTGTTTAAAACAAACTCTAAAGTTGGTGTTTCTTTTCTGTGGTTTATAATAAACAAACAAAAATCTTGGCTATTCCACACAGGTGCAATGGGCCCACCATCTCATACAGGGTGGCTCCGCTGGGTGGTATATTCTCTGGGCAGCAGCCAGGATCCCCACCACCCCAGCCAGACTCCAGAGCCAGGCCTCGATTCTTCAGGCAGCACCTATCACACCAAGAACTTGTAGAGCAACTTGGTGGAACTGTCATTCAAGGCTTGCTTTGCTTCTCTTGTGAGTCAGGATTATGTCAATGACATGGATCAGGAAGAAATTCGAACTGGTGTTGAGCAGTGTATCCAGAAACTTCTGGATATTGCAAGACAGAGTTGTTTTTTCCCTACAGAAAAGATTGCAGTTGTCTGCCCAGAAACCAGAGCAAGTCATTAAAGAGGACGTCTCAGAATTAAGAAACGAATTGCAGCAATAAGATGCATTGGTGCAGAAGCAACAATGTTGAGACACATTAGCAGCTGATGTTGGAGGACATCAATGTGCAGCACAGAAAGACAGGCAAAGTTCCTCAGGACTCCTTGGCTTACCTGGAGCAGATGTCTGCCAATATCCCTGCACCTCTGAAGCAGACCTGAGAGGGGTCTGAACTACAAGGTAGCCCCCTGCAGACAGTTTCACTAAACCTCTGTGTGGACATGGCCTTTTAGAAGAACTATTTGAGAATGAGTTGTATTAATTTTGTTTCTACCTAAAAATTTCCCCCGATTTTTATGAACTGTTAATTACTTGAGTACTTTATAAAATGCCTATAGCTTGGTAAATGAAGTGAGGTTTTGTTTTATTTGTTTGTAGCAAAGTTTAGATTATTAGTTTGATAACACAGATTCTTAGTTTTTTGCTTATTTTTAAAATTTTTGTATGATTTTGTATTTTTCCAGTTGTTAGCTTATGATCGGAGGGGGAAAATTATAATACTCCCGAGAATGGGGGTGGGGGGGGAAGGAGTTTGATTTTAGGCCTTTTACAGTAACTACCCATCCATGGTAGTGGAGAAAAATATGTAAATTTGCTGTCTCAAGACTCTGAACTACCTCAAGAGGAATCTAATGCAATGTTTGTAATGCTTCCAGAACAATATAGTGCAGATATTTTGTAAATGGGTTAGAAAAAGGGTTAAAATTTGCTAGATTAGTGGAGTAATATTACAGTAGATCCTTAAGTTGATGCTGCCTTTTATTTGGGTAAGTTTATGTTTTGTGTGGTGTTATTGCTTTGAGAGCTGTACTAGAGCATGATGTGCTAGATACCTTGCAGTAATGAACCAGTGTGAGTTACAGAGCAGATCCAGTCTCCTTAGCCTGACAGCTGGGACACAATTGAAATATGAGGGGTCAACGCTTGGTCTGATTTGTTTTCTTTTGAGTTTTATGTTGTTTGCTTGTGTTGTTTTACTTATGGGAGAAAAGGCAGTTTATGTGAAGGAAGATTCTTTTTTTTTTTTTAATTTTAATATTTATTTTTTAGTATTTGGCGGACACAACATCTTTGTTTGTATGTGGTACTGAGGATCGAACCCGGGCCGCACGCATGCCAGGCGAGCGCGCTACCGCTTGAGCCACATCCCCAGCCCCCTGAAGGAAGATTCTTGCTCATGGATTTGATTCCAAGGACTAGGGCCTTGTGGTGGAGGGCGACCTACAGAGTGATCCTCTACTATTTCACCTCCATAGAGAGCATGCAGTTCCTCTGTGGGGGAAGGTATTTTGCCCTCTTGTCAGAGGAGGTTTGCTGTTCTGTTTTATGCATCTCTTAGATTACATCCTTTCAGCCAGTACAAACACTCCACTTGTCTTCTGAACAGTCAGTAGGTATGTGGCACGTGTGCTTGGTTCATTTCATCCTCTAGCCCTGAAGATCCCTCCCCACTTGCCTTGGTATCCACTAATGTTCCTGGTGTGGTTTAGATGCCATCTGGTCCATGAAGCCTCCACACCACTCTAGAGCACAGGACTTTTATTCCTTCTACTGTTTTGTGGGTTTGTGAATGTGGGTTAGTTTCTGTGCCCCTTGCTGCATTGTATGCTCATGGGAAATAGGCATTACTCCCCTTGAATATACATAAACATGTACTTTTTATATATGTACATTTTTTTAGTTGTCATTGGACCTTTATTTTATTTATGTGTGTGCTGAGAATTGAACCCAACATGTATTTTTATATGATACTTTATATTACTTTGTACATACAATTACTCATTTTGTTTGTGTGCTATAAGGATGGTATTTGGCTTAAGGACCTGTGACCTATGATGACCAGCCAGATGCCAGCAGATCCCCTTGGTTGGAATATATAGGTCAAAACTTAAAAAGTTGGGCTGGGGTTGTGGCTCAGTGGTACAGCACTTGCCTAGCATGCATGAGGCACTGGGTTTAATCCTTAGCACCCACATAAAAATAAATGAATAAAATAAACATACTGTGTCCATCTTATAAGTTAAAAAAATTAAAAAATTAAAAAACACCTAAATTAACTGTTTGAGGCAATCTTTCAATGATAAAGGTGTTTTTGGTGAAAAGATCAGCAACTGTTCTACTTGATACCTACTGAAAATGTTTTGAATTAGTGTATATGAGTCATTATCATTTCTTTATATTAATTCAGAAGTTATCTGTCAAATAAATAGCAATTAGAAAGAAAGATAGATAGATAGATAGATAGATAGATCGATCCATCCATCCATCGAACAATCTTGGGGATGTGGTTCAGTGGCAGACCAGTTGCCTAGCATGTGCAAGGGCCTGGTTCAATCCCAAGCACCAAAAAAAAAGAGAGGAGGAAATGCTTGTTCTCTTTATGAATAAGGAAACAGGACACTAAACATTCCTCCTGCCTTCTGATAAACTATAGCCTGCTAGAAATCTATCACCCATAAATAGCTTCTCTTAATAATTATGATATTATCAAAAGAAATGAGTGCTTCTGATGTGGTTCATGTGAGTTTCTCATCTTTCCATCACCCAAAAAAGCAGAACTCATAGAGACCTATAGGCAAGAATCATTTAGAGTTAAAGAAATTATAGACAGCTGGGGCTGTGGCTCAGCGGCAGAGCAAGCGCTCTCCTAGCACATGTGAGGCCCTGGGTTTGATCCTCAGCACAACATAAAAATAAATAAACAAAACAAAAAAGTATTGCATCCAACTAGAACTAAAAAATAAATTAAAAAAAAGAAATTACAGACAAAAACACTTTAAACATACTGTTGAGGGTATATATCTAGACAGTTATAAACCTAGAAAAGATTAATCCCTTCTCAAACTTACATACACAGATCCAAGATAGTAAATCTTAAGGTAGATGTTTGTTTTTAAAAGGCTTGACTTGAAATAACTATGTTTTCTAAGAAAATTTTTAAAGAATTATCTGATAAGAATACTTTTTTTTTTCTTCTAAATAAAGAAAAAAAAAGTCTTTCTTACCTTCAACACGTGATTCCAAGTGCTTATCCAACTCTGAATCTTTTTTCACTGCTTCCTCTGAGACCTTGGGGGCATTTGAAAAGCAAACTAATACAATACTCATGTTATCTCGACTTCCCTGTATGTTAAAGAAAGAAAAAAAATACATTACTGCATTCTACTAAGTTTCTATTATTTCCTTTAAAATAGTTACCTTAAGCAATTAATCATACAAAATGTACATATTTAACACATCATTTATTCCAAAGAACTATTTAAAATATAAGCTGAAGAAATAAGGTGTTTAGATATGAGTATATCTGTAATTATGTTTGAATTTTAATTCTCTGTAACTATTCTTACCAACATTTCACAGCCTGAGAAGTATATCCTCTTACCTATCAAATATTCTCAATCGTAGCTTAAATCTAAAATGTGTCCTTTTAAGCATCTACAAATTTTTCTAGCTAATTAACCTAAGTAGAGCAATACAAGCACAACTCCACTGAAGTTAACATAGCTGAAAATTATTGATCTGTAGGACAGTCAAGAAACTATTACAATGAATGACTATAAGAGAAGAAAAAAAATGATTTAAGTTTGAAACTGTTCTGAGATTCAACTATAGTCATATGAACAACTTTTCTTGATGGTAGTGGAGGTACTCAGCCACTGAGCCACATTCCCAAACCCAAACCTTTTTTGTTTTTTATTTAGAGACAGATCTCAATGAGTTGCTTATTAGCATCTTGCTGGCTGGCTTTGAACTCAAGATCTTCTATCTCAATCTTCCAAACCGTTGGGATTACAAGCAGTTGGCACCATGCCTGGCATACGGACAACTTTTAAAGAGATATAGCAAATGCTTGAACAAAAATCACAAATAATTTCAAGGTCTTTAGAAAACACTAAAATGGCTAATTTAAGGATGAATTTTACTGCTGCCTTTTAATCACACTTTTGGTATACACAGAATAGTGTATACTCTGTTTCCTTTTTAGTATATCTTCTTTTGGGCCATGTCAGGTAAACTCTGGAAAGGTGGCAAGCTGAAGCCAAGCAATGTCAGTTTAGCTACTGGCTCTACTGACTGAAAAGACTATAGTAGCAGACTTTAGTTATACTAAAAAGGAAACAGAATATACAATATCCTAGTACCATATTATAAACAATACATTAAAATTCTCTTTGTTACTGTTTCGTACTGGAGATTGAACCCAGGGCACTCTACTAGCACTGAGTTACTTCCCAGCCCTTTTTATTTTTAGACTGGGTGTCAGTGGATTCCTGCAACTGGACTCAAACTTGAATTCCTCCTCCCTCAGTCTCCCAAGTGGCTGGGATTACTGGTGCGTATCACCACACCCAGCATCTCATCCTGCTACTTTAACTGACTTTTGTAGACCAGAAGAAGATGTTAAGATAACAATTATTTTTATTCTCCCAACCTTGATCACTGCAAAAAACTAAGTTAATGAACCTATGCAGTAAGCCATGTTGTCTGATAGTGGGCTTGCCAACCCAAGCAAAAGAAATCAAGGTCAAACCTACTCTATAGTCTTTTCAGTCATTATGGCCAACAGCTAGGTGACATTGCTTGGCTCAGGTTGCCACCTTTCCAGAGTTTACCTGACATGGCCCAAAAGAAAGGCCTTAAGGAACTTCTGCTTCCACCTTCTAAGTTACTGAGAACAAAGCTTGAAGGCAGTGAAAGTCAGGTCTTTGGAAGACTTAACACACTGGCCAAGTGATTTCATTCTTTTATGAAACTCAGCAGAACATCTATGACTTAATATTTAGAAATACTTATTTGATTGTTTGAATATACATATATCATGAGTGTAGGTCAATAAAAAATTTAAAATCTAAAATATTTTAAAATATACTGTAGATATTAAACAATCAGGCATCACTGTAACATTTATTATGATATTAAGGACGCTTTTTTAAAAAAATATTTTTCAATTATAGATGGACACAATACCTTTATTTATTTATCTTTATGTGGTTCTGAGGATATAACCCAGTGCCTCACCCTTGCTAGAGGAGTGCTCTACTGAGCCACAGCTCCAGCCCTTAAGGATGCTTTTTTCCTTTTTTTTAGTTGTAGATGAACATAAGACCTTCATTTTGTTTAGTTTTGTTGTTGTTGTTTGTTTTTTTAGTTGGTGCTGGGGATCAAACCCAGTGCCTCACGCAGGCTAGGCAAGCACTATATCGCTGAGCCACAACCCCAGCCCCTTAAGGATGCTTTTAAAAGCAACTTTATGGCTCAGGAAGCTGAGACAGGAGGATTGCAGGTTCAAAGCCAGCCTCAGCAATTTAGCCAGGCTATAAGAAACCTAGTGAGAACCCGCCTCAAAACAAAAAAATAAAAAGGCCTAGGGATGTGACTTAGTGGTTAAGTCCCCCTGGGTTCAATCAATCTCTCGTACCAAAAATAAAAATAATAAAAACAACTATATGTTTTATGAATAAATGGAGTGAACCCCTAACATTTTTAGAAATCTAGTTTCTCTTCTAACCTTCCCATATTTTGGTGATAATAGCAAAACCATTGTTTAATATTTCCTAATCAATATGCTGTATATGGGGCTACATATGCGCCTCGATGGTAGAGTGCTTGCCCAGTATGCATAAGGCCTTGGGTTTAATCCCCAATACCACTTTAAGAAAAAAAAAAAAAAAGCTGCACAAGTTCTATCACATTTTTATAAATTATAAAATATAAATTCAATCATTTGGAAAAATAATTGAAAGTTTGCCTCAAGAAGTTTATGGTTCTTTAAAGACATTAAAAGGACATAATTTACATTGATACTTCAGGCATGTGTGATTGCAAAGATGCTGCTTCTCTTTTTATGTAAAGATGACTTTCCCCTAAACACATACTACAAGGTTTGTTTCAGTAGTTTTTATATAGCAACTGAAAAAGGTCCTTTTTCCTTTATGACTCGTCCATTTTCTAGAGACAAATCATCATTGGGTAGTCAGCATAAATTTTTCATTAAATCTAGAAACATGTTTTTAAAATAGGATCCAGCCTGGGTAACAAAAGCATTTAGTTAACTATTTAAAACTCAATTATTATTTTCTTCTTTTACTCACATAGCAGTAACACTCTTAAAGAACTTACACTAATAATCAACAGATAGTAATAAGTCAAGGAAACCAGTGTCCCTGTCATAAATAAGGATCTAAACTTAAGCAGAAAATGATCTGATGCTGTTAGTTGTAATGCTGAATGTTCCAATATTATAAAGAAGTATCCAGGAACATAGCACATGAAATAAGTTGTGAAGAGAATCTCTCATTGTCAAGGATAGTAAATAAATACCTGAGAATTTAATCACTGATATTTACTTTTTTTTGGTGGTAGTGGGTTATTGGGGATTGAACTCAGGAGCACTCAACCATCGAGATACATCCTCAGGGTCTCACTGAGTTGCTTAGCAACTTGCCTTTGAACATGTGATATTCCTGTCTCAGCCTCCCGAGCTGCTGGGTGAACCACCGCACTTGGCAATATTTACTTATGTAACCTGGAACTCACTGTAATGATCTCATTTATTATAGTTCTCACCCCAGCCAAACTGAAGAAACAGACCGAACTTTCACCTATACACAAAATGATAAATCCTATGCCTAAGTCCTTTGAAGAATATTTGTTGCTTCCATCATCACCTCATTCTTAAAACTAATTTTTCTTCTCCAAAAATGTACCTCTATTTCATAACCATCATCAAAGGAAATAAAATTTGTTAAGGTTTATAAACCAAATACAGTTCACTCACTTGCTAAGAGCTTTACTTTCAATGACACACGAGGAAGATACTGTATTTCTTTCATGAAGATGAAAGAATAGAGGCTTTGCCCAAAGATAATAACTTAAATCCAGCTAGCTGGCTCCAAAGACTTTTTTTAAAACCAGGGATTAAACCCAGGGCGCTGAACCACTGAGCTACATCCCCATCCCTTTTTGGTCTTTTAGAGACAGGGCCTTGCTAAGTTGCTGAGGCTGGCATTGAACTTGTGATTCCCCAACCTTAGCCTCCTGAGTTGCTGGGGTTACAAGTGTGTGCCACCTCAACCAGCTCAAAAACTGTTCTTTTTGCTAAACTTATGTTTCCCAAATAGTGTGCCAAGGAACCCAAACTGCCATAGTGTGCTCACTAGCAGTATTTGAAATGAGAAGGAAATAATGATACTTAACATCTACAGACATTGCATAAACTAGCTGAAGGTTCAGTTTCAACATTAGATGGTGCTACATTCTTTCCAACAATATCCTAGTTTTGCAGAGCTAGGATTTGGGATGTTCCTATTAAAATGCAAGTTCTCAGAAAAGGAAATGAAGGTGGCAGTGTTCAGTGATTTCCAAAGTTTGAGAAGTTGTGCAGTGTCAAACAAGAACTCATTAGTAAGTAACTGGGCAATAGACAAAGAGGGTTGGTAACGTAGCTTAGTGGTAGAAGTGCTTGCACAGCATGTCCAAAGTCCTAGGCTTAATCCACAGTACTGCAAAAATGAAAAATAATTTGTTTTTTTTTAAAGAATGAAATAAAAAAATCTTAAATTACTCAGACACTGGGGCAATATGAATCAAGGAAGCATGTAAATTTCTACACTAAATTACACTGCCCTCATATATACTGTCCTTTTCCTTCTCTACTCCACATCTCAGAAAATATAAACACACTCTACTCTAATCTATGTCTACTTCTGCATTATGATTATATTTTTTGCAAACGACAATGAAAAAGGCACTGAGTTTAGAAGTAACAATTATTCTGAGAGATACAGAAATATATTTTCCATCTATATGAATAATCTAAAATGATACTGCCCTTGGAAAATATCTCCCTCAATTTTATCCAACTATAAAATTTTGTCTCATGTTTTAAAGTAAATAAGATTCTGACAAGTGGTATATAACTTGAATTTAGGAAAATCAAGTAGTATTTTAAAAAAACAACTTAAAGGATGTAAGGAAAAACAAAGCAGGTAGCAAAGTCACATACATAACATGATCCATTTCTGTAAAATGGTAAAAGAAAGCCCTATTTTTATGCTTTTCCTTTTTGTATCAATAAACAGAGAACCACTTGAAAGGATATATAGTAAACTGTAAACAGTTGTTACCTACATGGGATAAGACTGGAAAGGAGAAACAAAAATTTGAATAACTTCAAAACATCTTTGTATTTGTTACAAAAAAAAAAAAAAATTATCCATTTTCTGGGCTGGGGTGGTGGCTCAGTAGTAGAGTGCCTGCCAAGCATGTACGAGGCACTGAGTTTGATTCTCAACACCTCATGTAAATAAATTCAATAAAGGCCCATTGAAAACTAAAAAGAAAAAAAAAGTTTTTAAATTATCAATTTTCTAAAAATGGGGGAGGGGGAAATCAAAGGGAAATGGGTATAGTGGTGCACAACTATAATCCCAGCTACTCAAGAGGCTCAGGCAGGAGGATCATGAGTTCAAAGCCAGCCTCAGCAACTTAGTGAGACTCTATCTCAATATAAAAAGGGTTGGGGATGTGGCTCAGTGGTTGAGCACACCCCTGGGATCAATCTCTGGTACAGGGGGAAAAAAAAAACCCAAACAAACATCAAAGGAAAGTTTTTAAAGTTTTTGTTGAACAATTTTTTAGACCAAACAAACCCAAAAAACACACTCACATACACAATTCATTACCAGAAAATTCTGGGAAATACTGCTAACAAAAAATACTAAACTTAATTCTAATCTCAGCTTCATCATTCATCAAGTATAACTTATAACTAACTTTTTTTGTAATAAACGTTTTTTGTAATTGCAGACAGAATGCCTTTATTTTATTTGTTTATTTTTATGTGGTGCTAAGAATCAAACCCAGTGTCTCAGCATGCTAGGCAAGCACTCTGCCACTGAGCTATAGCCCCAGCTCACAACTAACTTTTAATGTCAAACAACCACCATTTCCTTACATGAAAATTAGCAATAAAATTTTTAAGCTGGCACAGTGACACAAGCCTTCAATCCCAGTGACATAGGAGGTGAGGCAGGAGGATCACAAGTTCAAAGCCAGCCTCAAAAATTTAGCAAGACCCTGTTCAAAATAAAAATACAAAGGTATATGGCTCAGTGATTAAACACCACTGGGTTCAATCCCTGGTAAACCCCACCTCCAGAAAAAAAAAAAAAGAAGTAAATACAAATCTTTATTTTGTTTACCTCAGAAGATTACTATAAAGATTTAAAAATATGATTTTTTAAGTTATAAAAGGTTATGCAAATTGCAGTTACACGTGTTATGAATTCTGAAATTAGACACAATGAATCCTGGCACTGGCAATAAAACAGGGAGACTGTTTTGTTAAAGACTATTCTCCTCTAGCATTATGTATCTTATTTAAGTAGGATAATACCTGACCAAAGTCATTCAACACTTATACTCTAAGCTTGTGAAATGGTAACCCAGAAAAATGATTATCATTAACAAAATGGTACCTCATTCAATATGGTTGTAAAAATTAAAATGAGTTAAAGTGTGTATTAAAGTACTTAAAATAGTATTTGGCCCATAAAAAGCAATAACTTATAGATACTATGGTGATTTTGATTACGATGATTATCACAACTTTCCAAGACTTCATGAGTTAACATACAAATGCACCTATAAACTATTAAAGCATAATAAGTGTTGTGTTAGAAGATTTCATTTAAATCTCTTAGAGAAACAACTACTTAAGTGGATCTTCTTTTTCTATCCTCTTGAAGTATGCAACACCTACTGAGCAATCATTAGGTGCTTCCTATGGATTTAAAACTTAATATCTAATCTTTCACACTAAATATCAAATAATCTCATTCAATTTTATAATATCGCTAACCCTTGGTTTTACAATACAAATATGTGTAATGACAAAAATTATGTAGTTAAAAAAAAAAAGAAAGAAAGAAAGGGAGCCAGGCCATGGGCACAGATGCTTGTAATTCAAGTGACTCAGAGGCTAAGGCAGGAGGACTAGCTGAGACCAGCCTCAGGAACTTAGTGAGACCCTGTCTCAATATAAAAAATTAAAAAGGACTAGGGATAAAGCTCAGTGGTAAAGTGCCCTGGATTTAATCCTCAGTGCCAACACAACAACAAAAAAACAAAATGAGGTTTAGACAAGAGGTTTAATTACTTAAGTACCTTTTAAAAGATAACACCTGTTATATTTCAACCTAAACCCACTAAATTTCTCAAAATTGATTTCAATTTGAATGTAATTTCATTCAAAGAAACTATGAACGTCAACTTTCAAACAGACCCAACTTCTTGTCTATTAATATCATTCCTCATTTCTGAGGCTCTAGAATTTGTACAGAATCTTTAACACCTGTCTCAACATCAATAGTCACTGTAGGCTGATACGCTATAAGGATATATCATCAGTGTCATTTAAATCTCATTTAAAAAGTTACAGTCAAAAACTAGGACTAAACTTAATCCAAATTAGAGACCCAAAAGATTTTTGGATATTCCCATACAACCACATGTTATTTGTTCAATAGAATGCTATAAAATCATGAAAACTTTTGCAGTTCAATACTTGCAAAAAGACTAGAAAGATACACAATATACGGCACAATGAAAGTAGCTAACTTAAGGTGGGTGGCAAAATTTGAGTGCTTTCTTTGAATTTTCCGTATTGTCTGGATTTTTTTTTTTCCAGTAACAAGTTCACTCTATTTTTTTTTTTAATAGCTGGGGAAAATGATGCTTGTACTCAATCAAAAAACATATGCCTGCTTTTCATTTCAAAAAGTTGTAGATCACCATTATTCGACAGAGGGTCTGAAAAGAACTTGTAGAGCCATTATTTGACTATTGACAACCATCTTCCTTCAGTACTAAACACATTCAGAAATAAGAAGGGTATATTGTGCTAAAATTAAAAATCCAAGGAGGTAGAAGTATAATCATTAAAATCATTTTGGAAAAGTATTTTATGGAAAAGAAATTATATAGTTCACTAAAATCTGAGTATTTCCACAGATCCAGATTCTTCCTGGAAAACTTTCTGGCTAGCTGAACTTTCCAGAAAAAATTATGTTGGGGGAAATTCTCTTTGTTGCCCAGGTTGGTTTTTTCTTGATATATTTTTAGTCAAAGAACACTTTGCCACCCCAGGAACTTGCCAGGTAAGTTAAAATTTAATTGATTTCTATATATAGATGCTATCAAAAACCTACTAAAACAACTGAATATTTTAAAGATATTCAAGGGGAACAACCAATTATCTGTTATTCTAAAAGTTTCTTTTACTAATACATCAAGTTAAGATTAATAAAAAATTAATGTTCCCCAGGAATTCTTCACAGGATTACATTTTATATAAGCCTTTGATTTTTAATTAGTGATAATTAAAAACATTTATATGAAAAGAATTTGGTATCATCTACAAAAGTAGGATACTATCCATCAAGTCATATATTACCTTATGTAGAGTTATATATAAATTCCTTTTTAACTTTATTGATAGGAGAAAGCTCCTGTCACTAGACAATAAGAAATATACAACTCATACCTAAGTTTTAGTTTTATCTCCTAAAAGGCTCAGAACTAAATTTTTAATTAGGCTTGACTTCTGGCATATCTTCTAATATTATGTGATTCCTGACCTTTTAGTATATGGAATACAGAATTCTACTATAAACATTTTATAAAGTTGCTTCAAAATCATGCTGAAGATGGCTGCTGCCAACATTACAAATTTGAACCAAAAGTCACAATTCTGTGTAGGTATCTCTCAAAACAAAATTTGATGTCAATGATGCAATAAGGCATCATTGACAACAAATGTCTCAAATTTATTAAGCTTAATTTTCAAATTAGAAAGTTGGGGCAGAAGGGGTGGTGAAAACAAAAATCAAAAAATGAACAAAAAAACTCAGTGGTTTCACTACTGGTGAAACAATTATTTTAAAATATATAAGTCTTTCCTAATGCAAATATTTAAAACTTTTAAGTTTGCTTAAATTTACTTACCATGTCTTTTCAAAATTAACACGGCATTTTAATTATAACAAAGAAGCTTACATACCTTATGTAAACAAGTGTCCACTACCCAATTGCACACATTTTCCAGGTCATCAGACACCTCAAGCCTAGATTTAACAAATTCACAGAGCTCCTCATTACTCATAACATCCCAGATCCCATCACAAGCCAAGATGATAAATTCATCCTCTTCTGCTCTTAAAATTTCATAAACCTCGGGCTCTGGAGAAACAAGTTGTTCTGTAGGGCCTTTGCCATCAACACACTTGTAATCATAGTCCCCCAGAGCACGAGACACTGCTAATGAACCGTTAACACGCTGTATCATCACGCTGCCTCCTGCATTTTGGATTCGCTCCTTTTCCCTTGGATTACAAGGTTTGTGATCCTGGGTAGAAAAGCAGACTTGTCCATTCCTATACAGAACAGCACGTGAATCACCACAGTTGATAAAGTAGACATGTGTAGGTGAGATCATAACTCCCACTGCAGTTGAACCGCTCCTGTCCATCCCGTTTCTGAGGTCTGAAAAGTTACGCATATATTCATCTATTTTCAAAAAGCCAGTTCTGATACCATTTTTGACATTTTCCACTGAAGGCGCAACAGCTGATCCTGATTTGCCAGCTGCCCTGAAGTCTTCATTAGTAGTGATGTGTTCTAATAAATGTGTTGAACAGTAATTTGCCACTCGGGATCCAGCATGACCATCATAGACTGCAAAAAATGACCAGTCTTCTAAGCCATGAGGAATACCTACGACAGCTGTGTGTGCATCTTCCATTTCCACTCTCCATCCTTGCATGCTGCTCAAGCCATAACGTAAACCATTCCCAGCACCATGAGCATTATGTTTTTCAGTTTTGGGTTTATCCAAAAATGCACCCATGTTTAGTAATGAAATCTGAAAGAAAAAAAAAATGATAGGTGTTAAATGTTTAAATTTGATAGAAAATTTCCTAAAATATTTCACCTATTCTCAAGTGACTCTTATCAAGTATATTTATCACTATTATCTTAATTTACTAGAAAAACAAAAAAAAGTAACCAAGAAATTTCTGTCTATATCCTTCTTCTACAGCAGTGGTTTTCAACTTTAGCACATTAAAATCAAAGAAATTAAATCACTATTTCTGGAGGTGGGACCTTGACATCAGTACTTCTTAAAGTCGCTCTGGTGATCAGAACATGTAGACAAGTTGAGAAACACTGTTGTAGGAGAAAGAAAAACCAAGAAATAAAACTTGGTTAAGAAGTATTTTAAAAAAATTCAGTTTACAAGATAAATCTAGGGTTTCATATATAAGTCTACAAAAAGACTGAACAATGGGACTGGAGCTGTGACTCAGCGATAGAGTGTGCACCTAGCATGTGCGAGGCACTGAATTTGATCCTCAGCCCCACATAAAAATAAATAAAATAAAGGTGTTGTGTCCAACAACTTAAAAAAAAAAGACTGAACAATGAGAATATTTGGAACAATAAGTTATCTTGTTCAATAAATTAAAAAAGAAAAACTAATATATTTAGAAAGACTTTCCACAAAACAAGTATGAAAATCAATGTTTTCCCTAATGATCCTACATATAACTCCTTTTTAAAATTCAATTAAAATATAAAAATTTCCATTCTGTAAACATTTGGTTTTTATTTTGATATTTTTGTTTGTTCGTTTGTTTTTTTGTTTTAAAGAGTCTTGTTATGTTGCCCTAGCTGACTTTGAACTCCTGGGCTCATTATGTCCTCATGCCTCAGCCGCCAGAGTATCTAGTACTACAGGTGTATACTACTTGCCTAGCCTCCTACATAAGGTTTTATCATACATCAAATCGAAAACAATTTTATTTGTTACACTTGTATTCCGTTAAGAACATAAATTTAATATGGTGCTAAAGCACATACTTCATACCACGCCAAGCTTTGTGATCCATGAAGTAGCTACCTAGTGTTGGCTGGCAAAGACTTAAAAACCTTAGAATTGTAAAATACTGCTGTGCATCCCCCACATCTCCCTGACCAACTTTATTATTATAGAATATAGCTTTCTGAACTGAGCAGTGGCTCTCAAAACTGAGCATAAGAATTCCCTGTTCTACATATAATCCTGGCCCTCCACTCCAGCTGTGTGACTTTGGGCAAATCTCTTAGTCACTGTATACTTTACAGGGTTGCAATGAAGAATGAGTTAATGTAAAGTGCTTAGAACAGTGCATAAAAACATTAGTAAACAACATAAAATGATTGCTTTTACTATCTATTCAAAATGCAAATTCCAAAACCTTTTTTAATAGATATTGGATGTGACCTTCAATAAAGCTTGCTAGAGATTTAAGAATCATGCTTTGAGGGGCTGGGGTTGTGGCTCAGAGGTAGAGCACTAGCCTAGCATGCATGAGGCACAGGGTTCGATCCTCAGCACCACATAAATATAAAATAAAGATATTCTGTCCACCTAGAACTAAAAAATAAATATTAAAAAAAATCACTCTTTGAGCTAGGTATGATGGTATACACTTGTATTCCAAGCAACTCTGGAGGCTTAGGCAGGAGGATCTCAAGTTGGAGGCCAATCTCAGCAATCTGGCAAGGCCCTAAGCAACTTAATGAGAACCTTGTCTCAAAATAAAAAGTAAAGGGCTGGGATATAGCACAGTGGTAAAATGTCCCTGGGTTCAAACCCTAGTACCAATAAATAAATAAATCACTTGTTGGGGCGGGAGGGTACCAAGGATTGAACTCAGGGGTACTTAGCCACATCCCTTATCCTTAATCCTGGCTTTTGCTGAGGCTAGCTTTGAACTTGTGATTTCCTGTCCCAGCCTCCCGAGATGCTGGGATTACAGGCATGCGCCACTGAGCTCAGCAAATAAAACATTCTTTAAAAAGAATCATGCCAGTGAGATCCTGCCTCTAAATAAAATAAAAAATAGGGCTGGGGATGTGGCTCAGTGGTTAAGTGTCCCTGAGTTACATTCTCAGTACCAAAAAAATAAAATAAAATAAAATAAATAACAACAACAAAAAAACAAACAAAGAAATACTAATCTAGATCAGTTGACTCCCATTTGGGTCTAGACTTCTTTTTAACTTTTTTCAGCTATGCATTATAGAAAAAATTAAAACCATTTTAATTAAAAAATTTTAAAAATCTGAAAACCATTCAATATATATGAATACATATGCATTTATAAATTAGATATTAAATTTACAACTTGTGTGTCTATCAATTTGTAAATAAATGTATTAATAAATTACACATGTATTTACAAAAAGGAATCTTGAAGGTATAAAAATTAAAGATTATTTCTTATTTACTAATGTAATGTGGTTTTTTTCACTTTTTAAAAAAATATTTGTTATTTTAGTTTTAGGTGGACACAATATCTTTATGTGGTGCTGACAATTGAACCCAGTGCCTCATGCACACTAAGCAAGCACTCTACCACTGAGCCCCAGCCCCAGCCCCCCCCCCCTTTTTTTTTGAGGTACTGGGGAATTGAGCCCAGCACCTTGCACATCGTAGGCAAGCACTTTACCACTGAGCTACATCCCTGGTCCAGTGCTTTATTTTAGAACATGCTGTTTTAATATTCTATGACACAATGATTTGAAAACCTAGTTCTAAGTACTTTTACTTAGATTCTTCTATTATTGAAGGGTATTTCTTCTTAAAAAAAAAAAAAGGGACAACTTGTAAAGATATATAAGTGCAAATGAAATTGAATTGTTGGCTATATTATATTGATATTGACTATTTTTATATTTATTTATATATACTTAATAAACCACTTTTCAATCCCATCTACCAATTATGGGGAAAAAAGATTTCATCACAGCTTCCATCTTCTCTGATGTTCTTGCAATTAAGTTACTGCTGTTTCACGTTTTAACAAATAGGTTCAAAATCCACAAGAACTCCTCATTTACAATTTTTTTTTAAAGTTTAAAATTTTTGCCAAGTTTGGTTTTAATTTAAGGAATGATCTTTGACAGAAAGCTATATGGATGCTAAGAATCAAAGTGAACCTGGAAGGCCAGCTTGGAAAACAATCATAAAACTAAACATCTCCTGGGCTGGGGCTGTAGCTCAGATGTAGAACGTTTGCCTCACACGTGTGAGGCCCTAGGCTTGCTCCTCAGTATCACAATAGATAGATAGATAGATAGATAGACAGACAGACAGACAGACAGATATTGTGTTCATCTACAAATTATTTATATATATATAAACTAAACATTTCCCAAGGCTGGGCTGTAAAACACTGAAGATTCCACCAAGAACAGTTCCATATTTTCGCTCTGAAAGTCACTTGCTCTAGATTCAATGTTCGGGAATTAGCATCTAATTGACAGAGGTTAGATAACGAAGAACATCTTTTGGCTGTATCAGAAATCACATTCTTTTGCAAACTGGTAATTTTTTAGAAAGTTCCAAAATGACCTCATTTTCAAGTTGGGATTTTTTCCCACCATAATTTTAAAAACGTTATGAAACATCACACATGAGTTTATAAAATGTGTATATATAGCTGAAGAGTAATAAACTCAACAACCATGCACTCACCACAGTTTATCAACACCACTAAAACCTCTGGACCTCTCTTCCCATCCAGTTGGGCACTATCTTAAATTTTCTAATTAGAATTTCTTGTAGTTCCATATTCATGTGAGGTTGTTTAGTTTTACATGGTTAGCACTCTACACTGATATACAGCACATTTTTTTCTTGTTCAGCATTGTATTTCTGAGTGTTTACACTGACACAGAATTATAATTCATTCACTACACTGCATTACATGTCTGTACAACTTATTTATCTATTTCAATACAAGTTAACATTTTGAGTTTCTTGGTTTTTTTCTTTTTATTGTAAACAATGCTGTTTTGAAAAATCTTGTTGTATAAATAAGTTTCCCTACAATAAGCACCTAAAGTGCAAAGGGTTTAAAGTCTAAACTTTGACAATTAATAGTGATTATACCCACCCCCCAACAAAAATCACACACAAGTACTGCCCTGTGGTATGGTATTCTGTCTTCAATTACTTAATATAAAGAACTGGATTCACAGTTGTTAGAGGGAAAAATTAAAAACGAAACAAACTAATCTCCAACTATATAAAACAAACAACATAAGAATTAAAAGATAAAATTTCCTACCACTCCTAAAAATATTAAATATACTTATTATTTTTGGTACCAGGGATAGAACTCAGGGGCACTCAACCACTGAGCCACATACTGAGCCATATTTTGTATTTTTATTTAGAGACAGGATCTCACAGAGTTGCTTAGTACCTTGTTTTTGCTGATGCTGGCTTTGAACTCTTGATCCTCCTGCCTTAGCCTCCCGAGCTGCTGGGATTAAAGGCATGGGCCACCACGCCTGGCTAATAATTAATTTTGATGATAAACTTTCTGACAAAGAACAAGAAAACTAATCTCAAGAGTTGTTTTTTTTTTTTTTAAAGAGAGAGAGAATTTTAATATTTATTTTTTAGTTATCGGCGGACACAACATTTTTGTTTGTATGTGGTGCTGAGGATCGAAACCGGGCCACACGTATGCCAGGCGAGCACGCTACCACTTGAGCCACATCCCCAGCCCAAGAGTTGCTTTTTTAAAAATCAAATTTCAAGTTTTTCAACCTGCCTTTGTTGGCAGGTTGGTGGCATACTGTTCTCGCTAATTACACTATATTAAGTGGAACAAATCTCAAGTTAGCCCTCAGTTTACAGTCAAGCCCAATGTTACTTCACATTCAAAAACAAACAAAATTGACAGCATAGTAGAAAATAATAGGGTATCAAAGAACACAGTTAATCTTCAAACACCAGGTGACATAAATATAAAAGTAAAAGGGAAAGAGTATATTGCACTCAACATTTGTAGTAACTGATTCTAA